CAGTGGTGCGCATAAATAAATCACCCACAAGTTGACCCTTTGATCTAAAAGCAGATGTCTGCCTGTAAAATGGTTGAAAAATTCCACAGACCGCCACGCCACGCTGCCTGATGAGCCGAACTCTTTGACTGCCCGATGACCCCGCCTGTCGTGCACATATCCCGTGGGGCACGCAATAAATGTTTTTTTGGCGAATTGAACTTTAAACATTTGTGCGAAATATATGTTGCCATATATCCTTGTCTAGACACTGCACACGGCTAGCAAGGGGTACACCGCACAGCATCAAATTGGAATTCGGATTATGGCATTCGCCTTTACTTTGGCAAACACAAAATGTTTCCATAGCATGCACATAGATAGCTAATACTGCAATCAAAATATAAAAGTTAGCTCTCACTGCAACAGATGAAAAATACCAAAATAGTTCGACTATGCTTTATGCTTTATGGTTAAGCATTTTGGTTTCGGCTTTTCAGTGCCTTGTTCAATACATAAACCAAGGTATGACTCTGACGTGTGGCTTGTTCTTGGTATTGTTATTACGAAGTCATAAACTATTTTAAATATTATTCGCAACCATGAACTAAGTTGTCTAATCCTATGTATGCAATTTATTCAATGCCTAAATCTTTCACACAACTGAACTTTACTTCGGCTTATGCCAACAAATTGATTGAAACACTTGCTTTTTGATGCATTTGATAAGTCGTCTCATCTTTATTTATCTGCGTGCCTTGCAGTGCGCATTGTATTTATGTTGAAAGCGCATCATATATATTTCAAGTAATATATTTCAAGTACTATATTCGAATTGTGCTGCACATTTTGTTGCAAATTCACTTGATATTCATTTAACTTTCCAAATAGCCCTGTTCATTGGCTTAGCTGACTGGGAGAGCCAATTAGTTCAATTCGACTATGGAAAGACTTTCATATTTGCACTTCTTCAGTTAGAGTTGATTGAACTGTGCTGCTGACATTGTATGTATCGATAGTGAAGACCTACAACGACCACACAGTCAAAATGCCAAACGGTGCTGAGACAACCTTGAACAATAGACCAAGATTTTCTGGTATCAAAGTTTTCGCACACGCAACGAACTTTTGGGCAACATCTGTTGACGTTCCCAACATTTTCAGCTCACAGCACGTGAACGACCTGTCCCTCGGCATAGAAAATGGCAAAAAGTCAGGCACAGAACGTCTGCTTCATTGACTTCTGCCAAAGATGACTTAAGAACTGTTATAGGGCGATATTCATTTGACACAATTCGGCTACGACGTCCACCCATCGTGCACAAGCTGGGCAGCAGAAATGTATTCCTCAATTGTATTTCATAAAAGTCCAAAGTTGTCAAAAACCACAGACAATGCACAACTGGCAATTGAATTGAAAGACTACGACACACTCATTAGCAAGCTATAAAAGTCGGAATGATTCTGTTGTTACTGGAGTCGACTACATTGTCCTAGATGCTATACATGGGTAAGAAATCAAAATGGAAACATAACATGCCAATAACATGCAGTTAATCAAGGAGAAATTCCTTCAATTACGAAAATGAAAATAATCGAAATGAAATACAATTGCAATTAAATTGTACTCGAGACTCAAAGCGTAGAAAACCAGATTGATTTCATATATAGCAAGCCAGCAACATAAATATTGATGCCCTGGAGTGATTCAAATATGCGAGTCTGGAGTAAAATTTTTCTTGGAAATATCAGCAGATGACACATTCGACAGCATAGAGTGTTTAAGTTGTCGATCAGGGTCAGTGGTGGAATCATGTAGTCTTGTCTGTTCGATTGTGGGCATCTATGTTTGTCTGAACGTGTCGATCTCGAAACCTTTAAGATATAGAGAAGTCTTCCACGTGTGTCCTATAGCTTGTGCAGATCAAATTTGTTTCAAGACATCAAGTAATCTATAGATATATATCAAATTAATACTTTTAAATTAGCATTGATAAAAAATTAAAATAGAATCTCTAGCAAGCTTGGCAAAGCAACAATTGCATGTAGAAAACTTGCTTAGGGAAGTGTTCTATTCAAGTGGAGCGCATTTATTTCACTATTATTTTACTTGCATTCCATAAATTTATTTTATAACTTTTAATTATAAATTGCTTAAAAAATATATCTATCTGTATACAAACGAGTCCTTCGAGGCTAAGCTTTAATTTCAGGAAAATAACTGTCTGTAAACGCCTTTCTTGGTTACGTGTAGCCTCTAATAAGATTAAAAATTCATATTAAATAAATTTAGTAAGCACATGACCAAACTTACATTACTTGCTATAGACGCATTGCACATGAAAAGGAAATGGAAATCGTTAAATATTCAAATGCATAAGCTGCTTGGTCCCATATATTTCTCACATGTAAGCAGCTTTGAACAGGGCTTAATGTCATTAGAGCGCATATACTTTGACGATTACGTCTCAGTGGTAGTTGTCGATAATTAATATTTACTGACTCTAGACAAGTGTTTCCGTAAATTTGAATTGCTAAAGTCAATCGAATTGCTGTGCAATTGTTTGGTAAGCGCAATTATGCGATTTAATTTATATATGTTCCACATGCACAGTGTCTGGCAAACATTCAGTCTTATTGTGCATAAATATTGGTAATACCCAGAGCGGATAATAATTGTTTGCAACTTTTGCCAGGCCGAACAATGGCATCATGTGTTTATTTGAAATGAAGTCCAGGGGAATAAAGCCGTGGCAGCTATTGTGGGCTCTGCTTTTTTTGGTCGTTCACGAAAGTCACAAAAATATTTGAGCAAATGGTCCAACACAGTTTCCAATGTAGCTGGCTGATGTCTGTTTTTTGTTAGTGTCATCTGGCTTGCTTTATTATATTTAATTGCTCATACGCACTGTTGTGCGTTCTGCTTTTGCTGCGTTGGCGCTCTGTTGCTCTGGCTCTCTGACTTCTGGATTCTGGCCCAAAAATGCTGACAATGGAGCCATTGCTTGATTCGGTTCGCCTCGTTGTTAAGTTTAGCTGCCGAGATGTAGGACAGCAGCGATGGACGACGTTCTCTTTTAAGCATTGCTCTCCACCATCTGCCACATGGATGTCGATGTGCATGTGCGTGTGGGCGTGTGTGAGTGTGTGAGTGTGCATGTGTGTGTATGTGAGCTTATTTATTCTCCCCTGTTGTTTGCTTTAATTACGACTGCTCGCAGACATTCACTCGGCTACGGTTCATGGTCTGAATTATATGTTTGATAAATTGCTGCAGCAGCAAATCATCGTCAACTCTCTGACTATCTCTGGATATCATTTTATCCTTATCAATGCAGGAAATTTCAGCTTTTTACTCCGCTAGTTGGGGTTCAACAATATATGTATATTCGAAGCAGCAATTATTTCGACTAAATTAGTCAAAATGGAAGCAGAAGGGTTTAAGCGACTATGATGGATTGAATATGTATTATATATTATATATAGTTCACAAACCGTTTCTATTGCGATTCAGGCATTTTTCTTTATTTAAACCTTGTAGAACTTAAGTTAACTTTTTTACTAAGCTAAATTTTGCTCTGTTTAACAATATGTTATTAACTTTTAAGGTGCGCTGAGTGCCTGGCCATGGGGCATTCATTAAATATTTCCATTGTTTCAACTTTCGCGTGGCAAGGTGCTTCGAGGTAGATTAATATTCTTTTAATGGAGAACACGCGTAAATATCTAAGCGTAGCCAGTCTGTGTTCCGGCAATTCCGGCAGACAGCGAAGGTCCTTTAATTGCCACAGCGCATAGACATTTCCATCCACTTTTCCATAAGACTGTCTTAGTTATAAGGAAAGTGCTCTACCTACAAATTATGCAAGGTGTGAAAAGCAGCGCAACTGGCTGCCGGCAACCGGGAAAGACGCGCTTATGGAATAGTTACTTAAATTGGCATGTCAGCCGCACAACACTAGCAGCTGTGTGTGGTGGAGCAGGTGTAGTTGGTTACAAACTGGCCACGACTAGAGCGCCACGTCTAGTTGCTTGGCAATGAATTAATTATGTTGTGCTTGGCCACGCTTGTTTAAAGTTAATTGCTTTTTCAAAATGCATGGAACGCTCTACCCGCTAGCCATGAAGTAAAAATATTATTTCAGGTAATTGGAGAGAGATTTTGTGAAGGTGTCTAAGCTCTAACTATGTTGAGCTTCGCTTTCAAAATACATCAAATATATATAAAAATTGCGAACATTTTGCGTACAGCTATTTGGCTAAAGAGTCACAAAGCAGTTGAAGTATTTTATAAATATATTTTTATACATCAACAAAGCTGACGATTTCACAATAAATAATGCTGATTCAACTATAAATTTAACAGCCTCCAACAATATAGCAAGACTTTTGATGAACTGCACGTACTGTATGTGTTTACGTATGTATATTTTAGCAATTTATTGGCCTTCTGTCGAGCATAATATTTGTGAAAATGGATTGACCAAATTTGATCAAGGGCTGAACCGTACTGTTAAAGTGAGGATATTCAATTTAAGCATCCCACAATGTTCGTGCCCCTTGTCGCACAGGTAAACATGAAAAGGCAGGTGGAGGAGAGGAGGGGACGAAAGGACGATAGGAAGGGCAGGCCAATCGCCTCTTGCTGAGTCTGCTGTGAGCTGCGCCATTATCCTCTAATAAATATTGATTTCGAGGTAATAAAAAGAACATGACAGAAGCTAACAGCATCCTCGGTGGCATTAACGGCACTGTCGTTCATCGGTCACAGCGAGCGTCCTCGAGCTCTTCCTGTGAAGCGAATACAATATCGACCAAAATTTATGGATTAAACAAATGCTCGCTGATACGACCCAACACACACACACATACGCACACGTAAGAGAAAGTAGATATATATATTTATATATATTTGTATCCGATTTACAATATAAATCGATGTAAATTATTTGCAACAAAGCTGGAAATTATTCAAAATTAAATATAACTACCGTGCTCAAATTATGCAAATTTTTCCTCATTTTCAGCTTGCAGTTCACCTTTTAGCTGTTGTCCCTCGCATTGCTAGTCATTTTTCTACACGTGCCAAGTTACCCTCGAGCAGGATACAGAAGTGAAACCAGTGAGGATTTCGTGCAGATGTATTTGAAAGCTGGAACGGAACGCCGTCTCATGGAGATAAATATGGAAATGTCATGTTTACAAGTTCTGGCAATAAAAGCCACCCATGAAGCTTATAAAATGCAAATGATTCCCCCAAATTTCCTCTTTGCCAACTGCTACACTACCAACGCCAACTAAGAGCATGAATTGCCCAAAAGAGAAAGAGAAAATTACCTTGCCGGTACGTTCGTGGCTTAAGCCGGTTACTTCGTAGCTGTTTGAGAGTAGGCCGCAGGCAGGACAAAACTCAGCTTGACTACGAGTTTTTAGAAATTATTAAAAAATAGTCAAATATCAATAACAAATTACGATTTCATAATCTAGAACAAATCAAAGATATTACTATAATCTAAAATCTATGCCATCTAGTAAATATCTTCAGGTTTAAATTTATAGAACTCAACTCCTGAGGGATTAATACGTACGGTAAATTCATCTTTCGGCTTGAATAGCCCCAAAATATGTTTGCTATCAAATAGGTCCTGCAACACATTTATAAATAGTATGATAAGTTTTAATCTGATTGTACTTACATATACTGTGTAGCCCATTTGATTCGTAAATCCCAAATCCTGTAAAACAATTGTAAATGTCAGCGGGCACAGTGGGCATTCCTCGTGGTTTCCAACGTTAGCAAAAGCCACAGCAAATGAACGTAAGCCAATATTGTTAGTTGGCATAACTGGGCGCAGCCAGACCTAATCATGTCAGCTATTTCAAGTAAGCCAATTGTGTATAAATCTGAAAGCCAAAATACCTGAATGCTGTTCGAAATCAGAACGCACTGGCCAGGTATGCCGAGTGGATCCTGATCTACCTCTATTATAGCGCTGCGAAATGTGTTTTCAATTATCCTAGATAATTAAAATGATTTCATTTAATGTCTGCTAACCGATTTTGCAGCAATGCTCTGATTTCTGGTCGAACTGTCTGCAAGTCATTCGACATGATGAGCGGTGCTGCGAGCACAGCCCAAAGAGCCAGTTGCATACGACTCGCATCATAGCTGAGATGAAAATTTCCCAGCACCAACTAATGGAATATCAAATAGTTTTTCATAGAATATTTCGTTTTGGGCATTACCCACCATATCTGGGTCGTTCCAACTGCCAGGTCCGGCATGTTTTGTCAAATTCTGTTGCATACGATAGTATTTCAACATGATTCGAGCAACAGACGCGATGGAGTCTCTAATGTCATCAGCGAAACGCCACAGATTGCAGTGTTTTTTGATCAATTCGAAGTTGGGCTAAAAATGCACTTTTTCTAGCAAGAAATGTTTCGGGAATATCTGGAGGGAACTAACATGATTTTGATAGTATGGCCAGCTACAGGAGTAAACCATGGGCCGACCCGTCTTATTTAATGCCTGGCCAAAGGCTGGGTAGGCTTTGTTCAGGTCAATGCCCTGTACATAACAGCCGTCCAACTTTACGTAGTCCACGTTCCACTTGGCGAACGTCTTAGCATCAATTGCATGGAACCCCTTCGCACCGGGACCTAAGTGCATGCAAGTCCTCGCTCCAACATCGTGGTACAGGCCAAACTTCAAGCTTTTGTTGTGTATCTGACAAGCGGAGACGAGAACAGAAAATAAAATTGTGATTAATAATTGACTTACGTATGCTGATAGGTGGCTTAGGCCGCTGGGGAAACGTTCTCGGTCGGGCATCAGTTCGTTTGTGATTCTGTTGCGTTCCTTTTCCATCCAACAATCATCGATTATTAAATATTCATAGCCAGCCGCCGCATATCCCTCAGATACCAGAAGGTCAGCCGTACGCATAAAGAGTCGCTCACTATACAGGAAGAATAAGACCAAGATTGAATTGACAGCTTTATCCAGCAGCTTGGCATTTTCACCTGATACAATCCCTGGGGAACTTTACGCAGTCAGTCACACAACGAAACCTCTCGAACGGCATCCAGCCCATTGGCGGTGTTCTGGCCAAGCCATTTTCCAGTCCGGCAACGGTTTTCAAAGCCAGAGCCACCAGCAGCAAAAAGCAATCTTCTCTTGGCATTCTCGGTAAGGCTTTGCAATATGATGACTTAACTCTGGCTGATTGCACAACTTTAGCTACACTTCCGCAACTAATTAAAATGTCTTGCATGACCTCTTTTAACATGCCGTAACCAACTTTGTGGCTTGCAACGTTTTGCTATAACGTTCAGAGCTCTCTTTTTATTTTCCAGCCTGCTTTGCTGGTGAGCAGAGCACTGAAATTGAGCTTCAATTGAGCATTTCTTATTATGTATCTATTATACTATAATGTAAATCTAGCCCATATTGGGAAATTATCAGTTAATATTTGTATTTTTCTACCGTTGCAATTATAATTATTAATGAAAAATTATAATTGCTTCAGTTAATAACTAGCTGCTAACCAATAGAGCTTAGTTACAGCTCTCTGGCCAGTGCAAGTTTCCCTAAAGTTTATTCTGGAGCGCGCCTGAAGGCTACAAAGTTCTGAGTGCAGCTCTTGGAATAATTTAACAGGCGAGCGCCTGTTTGAAGCTACCCTGCGCTACGTGGCCTCTTAAGTTGCTCTCGCTCTCTGGCGGCGTTTTAGTGTTTGCCCATAATTTGGAAGTGTTGGAAACGCTTTGGCTTGCAACTCAAGGAGCACTCGACTTTACAAATTGGAGCCGCCCAACGGAGCGGGTAAAACCCCTGAGCGAGTGCTGAGCGCAAAAGCTTAAAGGTAATATTCACAAAATTAATACAATTAGCATTGCGTAAATGAAGGTGAGTTTATTCTGAATCAAACAAAAGGAAAACATAATGTAAACTACTATCAAAACTTACGGACTATGAAACTCGAGGCTTGTGCGTACTTCAAGTGCTACAGAATGTTAGAAACAATGCATTATGCAGATTGAATATTCTAGGCAGTGCATCAAGTTCTGCCTGGCTATAGAATTACACATATCTTATAGATGTGAACTATCTGATGCTGATGAAGGACGGAGCGGTAGCTGAACTGAAGCTCAGAAGAAGTAAATAAACAAACGGCCAGCACGTTATACCAATTAAAGGGATCCCTTGGCGGACTTGAATGTTAATGCTAAATTTATGTAAATTAAATGATTTGTAATATGCTGCGACTACTCCACGGAAATGCAGATGTTGCCTAGCTGCCTGCCTGCCTGCCAGCCGGCCTGGCTGCCTGCTTGCCTGCTGTTGACATCCTGGCCCCGGCGTTGCTACACCCCTTGCCACATAGCTCACTTGCCGGCTAATTAGTTAGAAGGAAGTTCGCTTGTTGGTTTAACTTTACTTCGTGCTACTGGGGGCCTTTGTTACCCCATTTGAGCAATTTGAAATTGGCCGAGTGCGCAAACTGCACGCGGAGAAGTGGAATGTACATGTATATACATATAAATATACATATGATATATCTACGTATATATATATATGTATATATATTGTGTGTGCCGGTAGCGTTTGGCAAAGCAGCCGTCGCATCTGATGTTCCGTTGTTGCTCTCTGAATCTTGGCCAACTAATTAATTTGTATTTTGCTCCTCACCCCGCGACTCGTGACGGCAAAGACACGACCAAAAGGAACGCTACGAGCCCGCGACCTCAAACCGCATCTGCACGTGTGTGCTGATGTGTTATGTAGTTTTCTCAGTTAATGCCTCAAATATGTTAACAAGATACTTTACAATATGCCATAAAAAAGGCAAGTAGAGGCCGGAATACAAACTCGGAACAGTCAGCGGATTTCTGAGTTTTGTTTACATAGGCTTTACCCCACAGCAGCAGCAGGGAAAGCATTGCGCTAACCCACCTATATCACATGTTACTTTTCGGCAGCGAAATGGCTGACAATACACATGTTGCACCCACCCACCACACACACACAGAGACAGACACTCAGGACCCCTGATGAGTGAGTGCGTGCCTACTCAAATGTGTTGTAAAATTATGCATTAGTTTTATGTCGTTTTGTGGCATATTAAAATCTCCTTAATTACGAAATGTAATCAACAAAGGTTCGCTGCACACTTTTCCTTCTTGGCTTTTGGCTCAAAGCGGTTTCTCTGATCCGCAATGTTCTGTGCTCGTGTGTGTTGCTGTTGATGTTGTTGTTTACATTTTTTGTTAGTCACATTGTTGTTTCTGGTACGGTCCATGTACGTGACAGTCTGCCAAGGCAAGAAAAGTCTTAGTAAACGAAATCCTAGTCCCACATATTTTCACTTCCCCCAATGTTTGTTTTTCTGCCCTAAAATATATGTACAAAAAATAGTCATCCATTAAAGGAATGTGTACCCAAGACCTAGATACGTATGTGCCTAGGATTATGTAGCTCCAAACATTATATCAAATGAATGTACAACATATTTGCTTTATATTCCTACTAAATAAAGAACACGGCTTGATATATTTTAACCTGAACAAACATCAGCTATAATTCCTAAGTAAACTTAAATTCAAATTCTATTGTAAAAGTGAAGTTGGTTTGACAGACTTTAAATATTTTGAACTGAAATAGCACGGGGTATTATGTAACTGTAACTAATAATTCTCAACTGATTTTCCTTTCAAATGAATAGCAAATAGTGTTTCTTTTTTTATAAATATTTATTAAGCATTTCACACTCAGTAGCACAGCTTGAGTTTGCCGAATTAATTTAAACATTAATAAAAGCTGTACACTTCAATGAAAATCATAGTTGCGCTCTATTGATATTAAAAGTATTGAGAAAAAATATATTAATAATTGTTCTTTGAGTAATTATTTTCATTAAAATAATATTGAATAAACAGATAAAGCTCTTAATTGTGAGTTAACTGAACCGCTATAATCAGTACTAATTACAGTTGCATTTCCAACTAAATTTGCATGATATTTAAATTGCAATAAAGTAAAGTGAAAACAAACATTCAATCATTGATTGATAATTACTAGTTATTGACTCGATTCACTCTCTTCCTCTCTTTCTTTCTCTCTCTCTCTCTGTCTCTATCCGTATCCATTCCGTTCTTTCATTCTTTGGTCATGTACATAGCTTTGAATGCGAGATGAGTTTCATATGCAATGAGGCAAGCCAGGCAAGGCAGGATGCCGAAAGAGCAGTCCATCCATAAATTAGCCCATTCACTGGCTAACGGCAATGTCGTGCAATCGTCCTCGTTTATGGCACTTTAATTGCCTCGAATTGTCTGGGCTAAGTACATTTTGGTGTTATCAGCGCCATTAATAAGCAGTACAATATGCCGCCTTCGACTCGTGCATTCACAAAAAATATTATATTGTATACTATATATATGTATATGTTTATATGTCTATGCACATATATAAATTGAGCTGAATGAAGTCAACGCTAAAAAGTGCATTATTTATACAATTATGTGAGAAGATAATACCTCTTTTATGACGGCAAGTGCTTGTGGATGGAGCACGAACGGGTGTAGCCCATGAATGGATACGGCCTAGCGTGCTTGGGGGCGGTGCCCAGGTAGATGGGCTGGCATTGAGGCATAACGCTTGCCTGTTGGCTGTTGGCAGTTGGTAGTTGGCAGCAACAAAAGCCTATTATTCTGCACGTAATAAACATAAAGTTGGCGCAATTTGTAACATAAATTTAAAGGGCTAACGTAAATCTTAGCGGCAATTATGTGTTTGGCGAACGCGGCGTATACGCAACGCAGCGCCTGTCCGGGTTCATAACTCATGCTCTTCATTTCCAGTCAAGCAGCCCACCATGCCAGCCACGCCATGCCATGCCAGGCCATGCCCGACCCTACTATCACAAACACAAATGCCAACAACAACAATAATACAGAAGGCGATGCCAGCGAAAGGAATTCAAATAGCCATAATTTATCACGTTGAGATTGCAGCTTCGCTACGCACGCAGACGAGCTGCAGATGAGTCTCAGCGTTTGTATTCTAGCCGTAGGTCGCCTACGGGGTTCAGGTTCGGCTGCGTGCTTGGATTCGGATATGGGCGGGCATCCAACCTTTTTAAAATGCGAAAGGATTAGTCCGCCCAACTGGCTAACGGAGCCAAAGGCGGGACGCAAAACGCAATTAGGCATGCGACAAGACCGCGGCTGAGGGCGTGGAGCTCGGCCTTGGTGCTCGGTCTCGTTGTTCCGTCCGTTCTGGGGCTATATTGGGATTTATGATATTCTTCTTAATCAGATTTATCTTAATGTCTGCGATAAAGGTAAAATAAATCGCCGAGATTTATTAGCGCTAATTTCGCTTAATGCGCAGGTGACTATGAGCGGTCATTGAAGAAAGGGGACATTCGAAAGGGACACAAACGAAAATATCTATTTAACATGCTCCAACACTTGACCCACTTAATGTGTTAGCCACGTTAACAGTAGCTATCATAGTTCTAGCAACCTTAACTTTGTCAAAGCTGCAAAACTGAAACGATTCATCAAAGGAAGGGACTTTTGACCACATGATTGATTGCAGCCAAATGGGCGGAAACTATTGATTGAAACTTTTTCAGTCTGTTTACTCAGTTGACTTCAATCCTATTTTAAAAAAATTTATATATATCTATATATATGGTTATTTGAAACATGATTTACCGATTAGGTTGATGAATGAAGATTAGTGACAAACTAAAATTTTAAAATATTGTTTAGATGCATGTATGTAGGTAACTAGGCTTGTGAGTATTGAATAATGGAATAATTTACTTCTGAATATTTGTCTTATTTCGATTCTCATGGCATACATGTCAGCTAATACTTTTTCTCATCTATATATGTTTCAGTCTCTGATATATGGTAATTATTGCAAATTCTTAAGTACATATATATTTGTAAGTTAAGCAAATGGTTTATCTTCTAATTTGATTACAAGCATACAGCTTGGAGCGGCAAATAATGCGGAGGACAATTGCTTTCAAGCCAACTCAAATGCCGCAGCGTTTAGGGCACAGGGTGTTGAATGAAAGAATGAAAGCCGCCCACGGCTGAAACAGTTCCTTTTGGTCGCCATAAAGCGTTGACAGCAGAAGCGACGCAGAAAGTGTTCGCAGCATCAGCATCAGCATCAGAGTCCGCATCAGCATCAGCATCACGCAGAACAACAGCAACAGGAGAGCGAAGTTAGCAACTTGAGAGCAATTTCGAACAAATAACATTGGCAAAAATATGAAGC